TATTTTTGTGTGGGATAAATATAAATAATAAACAAAACTCGAAAGTATCACAAACTTGGTGTCATATTCAACTCTGAATAGTGTTAAAAAGAATAGTGTTAAAATGAATCAAATTAAGAGGATCCATTTGGGTTAAATAAACTGTAAAAAAAATAAATAAATAAATTCAAACTCAAAAAACTCGGTAATGACTTTGCTTTAAATATTTTTGTGCAGTATAATCATGAACTTGGTGTCATTATACCGCCAAAGTTCAACACTGAATGGAGTTAAAATTAATTATTCATCTGGATTAAATAAAATATACAAAGTTTAGATTTAAGAAAAAAATTCAGAAATTCAAATTGGAACACAGTAATGTTTCTGCTTTAAAAATGCTTGTGAGCTTTTAATACGAAAACGTAATTAATAAAAAATGAAACTTGCAAGTATGACTAGTCTTTGCCAAAATTCAACACTGGATAGAGTTAAATTGAATCGAATGTATTAATCTATTAAATTAACTGAAAAAAAAATAAATAATAATAATAATAATAAAATTTATTTGGAAACTCGGCAATGTCTTTGCTTTAAAAAAAGTTTGTGCATGATAAATAAGTCAAATAAATAAATGGAACTTTCAAGTATCTGTGACTCTGTGTAACTATACTGCCTAATTTCAACACTGAACAAAGTTTAAAAATGAATTAAATTTGAAGTAAATCTATCTGGATTAAAAAAAAAAAAAAAAGTATTTGGAAACAAACAAAAAAAAAAGAAAAATAGAGTAGAACTTGGTAACGTCTTTGCTTTAAATACATTAAATAAATACTAGACAAAACTTGCAAGTATCGCTGAACAGAGTTAACATAAATCAAATTTAGAGTATATATCTGGAGTGAGTAGTTGTAAAAACCTTTGAAACACACAAAAAAAACGTGTACTTTAGTCTTAAATGACAGGGGCGCTCTACACACAGAAAAGTGACCATAACGTTGATCTTGATCTTGATTACAGAGTTCTGCTTTGAATAAAAGTGCAAGATGCCCAAGAAATTAGACTGTTTTTAAAAATGTGTAATAAAATGTTTAAATTGCTATTCGCTTTGTTATACCATATATATTTCTATTTCTACATATTGTGCAACCCTTTAATTTGAACACAGAAAATACTGAACAAAGGTCCTTCAAGAGTCTTTGGAAACAGACGATTTTAAAATAATTCATACAAATTTCAGAATAATTACTGTTTTGATAAGAACATTTCCCTTTTTAATTTAATACATATGTCATTTACCTAAACTAATAAGAGCCAGGTTTACACAAGTGTACAGTACAAGCAAAAAATCTGAGCATTTCTTTGTTCATTTTTAAAAGTTACTGTGTACTTTCCACGTTGGTGTTAACACTGCCGTCTGTGAAGGAGAGCTGCTTCCAACTGTCTCCAAAACACAAAAACTGTCCAAGTTGTGAAATCGTTTTGTTCCTGAATTTAAGTGAAAGTGATGAAATGCTAATAAGTGAGTTCAATAAAACGCTAGGGTATGAAAAAAATTTAAAAAGTTAGAACGTAGTTGTGTTTTAATGTTGTATCGGTGTAGGATTTGGAACCTGGACTGTATCTGTGTCTCTGTATTTCGATTAGGAAGTGACCATGGGGCGATTCGGGCTCCATCGTCTCGTATTAACTCACTAATTTCACAATTTTGTCCATAAAAACGTCCGAATAATAACTCTCTAATATGAAACTGTGCTCCAAACTCGCCCCTGTGACTGCTCATCATGGTGAGCTTCATTTGACTGGAGCAGAGCGCTATGTATGAACAAAATCAGCTTCCTTTATCAATTCCAGGGTTGTCAGAAATATCAAAAATCAGGGTTCCCACTCTTTTTCACTGACAAAATGTTTCCAGGACTTTTTCATGAGCTAAAGTGAATTTTCCATGACTTTACAGCACCTACATGTGTAGAATTGTTCAGACTTTTAGGGCTAAATATGAAATGTTCACCCTTTCCACTCACATTATGGTTTGGGATTATAGTTTTTAACATTCAAAATTCTGTCAGTGCATTTATTGTCGTCTCTTTTAAACAAAAGGTGCAGACATTCAGAAATAATCATAATACCGTATTTTCCGCACTATAGGGCGCACTTAAAAGCCTTTCATTTCATCCAAAAATGACAGCGCGCAATATAATCCAGAGCGCCTTGTATATGAATTTATTGGAGTGTCTTAGTACGACTTTAGTAAACTACAAAGCTTTTCAACTTGCAGCATTACGGCTCCCGTAGTCAGGAGCATCAGGAGAAATACATACTGTGATTCCTTTTAATATCAAAATGCACCTGTCAAGAGACACGCTCACAACGCCAACTTTAAACTCAAGACTATTATCAAGAAGAACACACATTCACCAAGACAGAGAGACAGCGCCGAGCGACTTACACCACGATCTGCCAACAGATCGTGACGCCCGGGCTAAGAATCAATATCAACTGTGGTCCGAGCTTTCACCAAGACCAGAATCATCACTGAACTGAACTCCAGGGAACAGTAACCACACTGACTCAGATAATGACAGAGGGATGTGGACGTGCTGGACGCCGGAATCACCCAACTGTTTAACTCAAACACTGAAGATGAAGAATTTGAGGGATTTGTGAACGAGGAATGAACTAAAAAAGTGAGTGTAATGTGTTATTTTTAGTTACAACCGAACAATTATGACATATTGTGAATACACGAACAATTTAGCGTCTCACACAGTATTTTTTTACGCGTTACAATTGAACAAAGTTGAGAGTTATTGTGAACGCGTTAAATAAAGTTTGACTGACTTATCTAACTGTTGTGTTTCGTTTAATGCGCCTTATAGTCCGGTGCGGTTTATATGTGAAAAATTTACAAAATAGACCATTAAATGACAGTGCGCCTTATAATCCAGAGCCCCTATAGTGCAGAAAATACGGTAATAGCCTCATGAGAACTTAATAGAACGCTGTAGTTGCGTGAAAGAGATACTAAAATTCCATGACTTTTCCAAAACCTAAATGGATTTACAAATTTCCATGACTTTTCCAGGATTTCCATGACTGTAGGAACCCTGTAAAATGAATGTTGAAACTAGATACTCATTTTTTGCAAGTGTCGATACTAAAAAAGCCACATTGACAAGACAGAAATGAACCTTTAGAGCTTCTGAATGATATTGAGATGTATCAGAAAAAGTCTAAGAGAACATGAACTCATATACGCCCATGGATAATGAAAGTGTTTTTAAATGTCATTGTGATATCAGAATCGTTATCGAGTTTCGTGTCTGTTCCTTATTATTGAAATTGAGTAAATTGACATTGCTTTACCGTAACACTTGATGTAAACAAGGCCTTAAACACTACACTGAAACCTGCGCAGAACAAACTCTATTCACGCTTACGTCACAAACCAGGAAGACGTTTGGAACCATGCGATGACAACTTCCAGTGGGCTCTGTTCACGGTAGTAAGTCCGTGGATTTACGTTTCTGTGAGCAAGTCTGACAAAATGTAGGAAAAATTTGAAAATGACCCAATTTTCTTCATCTCCGTGTCAGTGTAGCAGAGGTGAGACCGACTCATCCTTGTTCAAGTCTCAAGTAAGTCTCAGGCTTTGACCTTAAGTTCCAAGTCAAATACAGACAAGTTCAAGTCGAGCCTCGAGTCACTGGCCCATAACTCCAAGTCCAAGTCATCTGCTTTGAGCTTCAAGTCATTTCAAGTCTTTAAACCAAAGTACCAAATAGTTCAGATTTTTGCTATTTTTATGACTATTAAACAAAATCTTTAAAAGCAATTTTTTCCTTTGTAAATGTCATTCATCAGAACAGAAAGAACTCAGATTTAAAAGAGCTAAGTAACAGTTATTTTGTTGTGTAGTCTGCACTGAAATGGAAGGATCGTGTTCTCTGTAGTTCTGTTTTACTGTATATTACAGTAGTATTTATATCACAGTACTTCAGTTCCAACCAAAATACCAAACAGAGGTGGGAGGGACATGTTCCATGTTCTACGGCCAAAAACCTCGTCCTTCTCCTTCTCAATCTCCTCCTTAAAACAAGTAAGTTGTTCATGTTCTGGCTCCGGTACGAGAGGAACTTTAAAATCTCCAGGTGCTCGATGCTGCGTCCATGTTTGGACAACTTCCGTAAACACAGAGCACGCTCGCTGTGGTTCACGTCGTCGTGTCTCCAGTGTCACATGTGGGACACTTTTGGGCCGTTTAATGTTCACACTGGAGTCACATACAAGTCACATTTAATTAAAAATGTGAACGACCTTGCAAAAACATCAGATTTCACACAAAAAATCCAAATTGAGCATTAAGCCCTGCAGTCTGAACGTAGCCTTAGTCCATTTTATCAAGTCTCAAGTCCTAAAAATTGTGACTCAAGTCTGACTCGAGTCCAAGTCACAATTTGGAAGTCCCAACCTCTGCATTGTATTGTTCCGTTATGTTCACCTAATCCACTTTTCCAACCAGACCTCAGTTTTCTTCATTTCCGCACTGACACACAACTCCGACTGCACTGGTACATGTGATTAGAAGAGATGAGGCCAAATTCCAGATGATTCCAAACAGCACATACGCCTGCAGTCTTCATTTTACCTCTGATCACATTTACTTCAGTGGGTTTGATCACAGTCGGTCGAGTCCAGTGTCGGGAACTACACCAGAAGTCTTCATCACATCTTTCAAAACGTCATCCTGTTTTGTGACGTAAGCGTGAACAGAGCCTGTCCTCTTGTGCCTAACATGATCTGACAGGAGCAAAAGTGGACCGTGTCAAACTAATATATTCAAATTTCTTACCAAAAAACACATGAAGAACAACAATTGAAAAACAACTAACTTCTTAACCTTAACTGTAGTTATAAAACCTCTCTTTAAGTTAACTTCAGTGTACCGTACACATTTGAACAAAGCAAAAACGAAACAATTTTCTTCGCTAACACAATAAAACTAGTACAAGTCCTTCAATAAATAATACGTTGTTTTTTTTTTTCGATAATCTTAAATAAAGTCATTTTGAAAAGCTGATTTTTTTTCCCCAAAATATTTCCAACAAAGCTTCCAACAACGGATGACGATGTGTCCTCTTCAAATTTTTCACCAAAGCAAAAAAGAAAAAAGTGGACCAGTTTTAAAAGACTAATAATTAATATATAAACGAAGCCTAGTAGACGTAAGAATCGTTGTAAAATTTGAAGATATTGTGGAATTTTTGGGATGTTTTTCCTTATCCGTCGGTGCCGTTCTTGTTTGCGGAGTTGAGCATGTTGGGGTCGGGTTGCTGGCCGTCTTTGCGCGGGGGCATCCTCTCATTGATCCGATCCAAACCGCGAGCTTCCTCAAAATTCCGGATCTTCCTGGTCGGAGAAAAGCCTTGGATAGCTGTGGGGAAAAGACAGAGAGATTTTGAGACACTTGAGACAGTAACTCACTTGTGTTTAGTTACTACAAGGATGGAGAGGGAGGGAGACGTTTAAGACAAACTTCTACTCCAAAAATATAACGGTGCAACATCACGATAGTGTTTGTTCCCCAAGGAAGTAGAAATGTGACACAATAAGACACATAATTCTAGAGTTCTACAGACAAACGATGGTGAAACGCACAGTGGACTTGTATAGATCTGTACAGTAGTGACACGACTGACTGACTTGACTTTAAGACTAAAGCAGAGTCAGAGTCTCGGACACACCACAGTTTGTGTCTACAGAGGATTCAACGTGTTCATGTTTTTGACAAGTGGCCCCACATTTTTGTTTCATTTTAATTAAAAAAGTTTAGGTGTTAATTACTCAAAATAATTAAAAAGCCTTAAAAACTTGGTGGCACCAGGGGCCGGCCATCCTAGAGACAAAAGTCTGGATCTTAAGAAAAGGAGCAAGAAAAGTTCAAATAATGTAAGTCTTATTATAGAGTATTATTACTCCAAATAGTTCAGTGTAACTACATTCTGCCCACCTCTGTATGTATAATAGTATATGATAATGTGGTACAAATACTTCACTGTTTAACAAAATGTAAATACACAAAGGAGAGTGTGACAATCACACACTAAGTGATAATTGAAACACTACACTGTGATAAAATGACAACAAACTGACAAAAGGGCAACAAATACAACACAAGCACAAGAGTACTGCACAGAGTACTGCACAGTGTACTGCACAGTGTACTGCACAGAGTATTGCACATGGTACTGCACAAAGTACTACACAGTGTACTGCACAGTGTACAGCACAGTGTACTGCACAGAGTATTGCACATGGTACTGCACAAAGTACTACACAGAGTACTGCACAGTGTACAGCACAGTGTACTGCACAGAGTATTGCACATGGTACTGCACAAAGTACTACACAGAGTACTGCACAGAGTATTGCACAGACAAGTAAAGTACAACACAGGGGTAAAAACACCTGAGGCAGAGAAACTTACGGTAATGTCCCGAACAGCCAGGGAAACAGAAATGACAAATCAACATTTGAAAACACTTTTAGGACACAGTGAAGTCACTACACCAGAAATATATTTTATATACTATATACACTATATATGTACTAGTATTTATATAACAAGACATTTCCAAATAAGATGACACCTGAGACATGTTCACACAGTGTCACAGTGTCACACAGTGTCACACAGTGTCACACAGTGTCACACAGTGTCACACAGTGTCACACAGTGTCACACAGAACTTTTTCATGAAGGAGATGGGGCCGGATCATCTCTAGAGTTACTCCAGACCTCACATCTACAAACTTTATAAACTCAGTTAAACATTTGTACTTTTGATTTATTTTGTCTTTTGTCTGATGGTCATCGGGCCTGAAGTTTTGCCTTCATCATCTTTACACTTTTGAAGTGTAATGTAACTTTTCTAGAGGCCACCACTTGCTTGTCTCCATGGAGATGTTATTTCTTGAAGGTTCCGCAGTACTGCATTATTGGCCTTAAAAACTTATCTATCACCATGGAGACACACAGGTACATATTTTCGTATTTTCAAGTTCAAATTATTGGAACATTACATTCAAAGTGATATCTCAGTGGAGAGAAGCAGGTGGTGGAAAGTGTAAATACTTTTCTCCAGTAGCACAAGTGCAGATGCACTGAGCTCCACACTCTTTACACACAGACCACACTGCTCTTGCATTATCACACTGGATAAAGGCTCATTAACTGTAGAGAGTTTTGAGAGACTATGAAACACTGCTCAGATTAAACATAAATAAAGAACAATAAGATGATTTTGTATTTACAGGAACAAAAGTGACAGTCACACTGAGTGCCCAGAGCAGCAGCAGGACAGAGCAGCCACAGTAAATGCAGTAACAGGATTAACCCTAAATACCCTGTGAGGGATGTCCCAGGTCTTATCTTAGCTGTGTCTTAGAGGCTTTACTGTTGAGAGGGGAGCCCCATGTGACTGAGCCCAGGGCCGGAGCTCTACACTGGGCTGAAGAGAACAGGCTGGCTCCATACGGAAGTGTGACTCTGTTCAGTCACACAGGGACAGATCAGTCTGATAGTGGATAGTAAGAACATAATCTTTAGTCTTACTCAATTATTTATCTGATTCATTTATATTTAATTTGGTGATTTACACTGGGAAAGGATTATAGATGCTCAAAGTCTGTGCGACATGATGAAAAATATAATAAAAAATTATCATTTTTAATGAAATCGCCAAATTTGGGATTTGATTGTCTGTTTAACACCACTGTATACTCAAAGAAAGACACTTTCCCCATGCACTCCTCTTATTGGTCAGCCTCTGTGATGTTCTGAGTGAGTGACAGGTGGATTCAACCAATCACAGAGAAGGATTAACTTTTAAAGGCAGGGGATGACCTATGCTACTTATTAAAGGCAATATTTAAAGTGCACAGAGAGTAAGATAAAAATCACATTTCTAATCATTTTCAGACACACAGAACAAAACACTACAACGACAACACCAGAAAAACATCCACTAACACGCTAGTATTGTATAAAAGAGACAGTGACACAACACCACAGACAGGGGGCGCCACAGCGTACCTTGGGCTTTGGCGGCTTCAACGGTTGCTTTGATTAATGAAGGAGAAAAAGCAGTCAGCAAAAATACAGCGTGTAAATGTTACGGTACATTAAATTAGAAGAGCATAAGGGAGACGAGTGGGGTCCAGCTACAGTAATAATATTCACTTAAGTCTTTTACACCTTTAAATATTCAAAAATAAGAAACAACATCTACTTCTATTAAAAACTTGCCCAGTGAACAATTGCATGATTATTAAATGATATTTACACACAGTAAAATCCTCCTCAGGTGAATGTGGGTCAGTGGGATTATACGGTGTATTTCTCCCTCGGCAGCCAACTTAACAGCTGACGTTGCTTTGTTTTTAGCTCTATGGCACAGCGCGGTGTTGTGTGCTCTTTAAACCAAACCTAAAACACATTTAAAGGTTCTGTGTTACACAAAAGTGACTCTTGTGAGCTTTAAGTCATGTTATAATGCTGTTACCTCCTCAAAATCAGACCTGGAGTTGTGGTTTGTTTCATTCACACATGTTTGAATTAGGGACGGGCATTCGATTAAATTTTCTTAATCGATCGTCGGGAGAATTAACGATCGCTTATCGATTAATCATTAACGTTTTTATATCAAAATTATCGTCATTATTATTACTATCTGCACTACTAATCTGCAGAAATAAATTCAACTTTACAACAAATAAACCGTAACGACTCTAGAGCCACATCAACCTCTTTGACATTATAATGTGTTTAATGCAGATTTGTGCAACTCTCACAGAAACAAAACTTAAAACCACATGGCTCATTTGCATAAACTCAGAAAAGAAAAAAAAAAACAGCTCTTGTGCGCTGATGTGGCACGACTCAGTGGAAAACAGGTTAGTGTGACCATATTTGTGTTTGTCAAAACCAGGACACCGTACGGGGGGAGGGAGGTGGGGACTCGTCATCGACATTGAGCGACTCTCACCTGACAAAACTTTTTCATGTTTTTCGGTGTTCTGGTGAGCTTTTTCCCACTGGACACCAAAACATGTGCTGCTTTGTACACTGTGCACATGGACTCACTTGTCCCAACCGGCACAGAAAGCCTGGAATTTCTTGTACAAATCATCGTTAAATACACATTTGTGCTTCGGTACGTTACAGACTGACCCACTGTTTGTGTCTCGCTCCTTCTGATGCAGAGAGACACATGTACAGACCTGTTTGTCCCCTCACACGGACGTTTGGTCTCACTACACTACGCACAGCAACCTACATTCAGTTTGTCGATTAAAAATGAACATAATCGATGAAATTCTTAATGATCAATTATCAATTAATCGACTAATCATGCCCATCCCTAGTTTGAACGTTCTTTATTATTAGTCTGTCTACATCTCCAAAGCTCTAAATGCTCTGCTCCACCCTGTGATGTCATGCAGTGGTAGTTTTCAAGTGAACAGTTCCTTTTACCTTTAGTTCAGTTCAGAGATTGGCAATTCCAGGACTGAAATCATCTAAATCAGACCTGAGCATTGTGCAGTTTTTGGTTGACTCTGACCGGCCCGTTTAAGCTCAAAAAAAAAACCATATTTTATAATTTTTACCTCATGCCTGGACTAAAGCTGATTTGCTTTTATTTTAGAGCATACCTGCAAACTTGTCGCCTTTTGGCTACAATCGCCTTTTTCTTGGTCAATTGAGTCATCGAGTTTAAATAGAAACAATAAATCCAAATTGAGGTTTACATGGAAAACACGTTAAATTGTCTTTATTTAATTCCGAATTAAATAATGTGTGCGTTTATCATCAGCACAACCTGCTCCTGGGGCAGATCTGTGTCTTGTGAAAGAGCCCAGCTTCACAAAGACTGTTAATTATTGCTTTAAAATTTCCTTTTCAATCCCTCGCTTTTGCCCTGGTCAGCCTCACCGTTGGGCAAGTGACTTTAAAACTGTAATGTGTTATTTATGACTTGTTACTGTCATTTCAAAGTCATTTGTTACATTACAATATTACTGCATTTAAAATGTAAGGCATTACATTACTATTGCAGCACTTTTGCGCTGTATATGGACTGAACAAGGACTAAACCAGGACTGAACCAGGACTAATATTGGACTAGAACTTGGAAGCGCCTTGCAAACAGGGTGTCTGCGCGGCCTTGGTTCGCCCCATGGAGCATGGAGTTCTGCGCTGGTCCTTTCGCCTACAGTCACCTGACGGTCTATGTGGACGCGTCTCCAGCGTTTCATCGCTGCTGATATCACGGTGATTTTAGCAAATTTGTATGAAGAAAAACCCACCACTTCAATCCCCCGCCCACCGGACACTGTCACCTTTTTTTCTCTGAGGAGTTTGCAGGTCTGTTAGAGGCATTTTCTTAAATGACATATTTTGTTGGGCAGCCTCACTTTTTCATTGCTTAGTCAGAACATAAACTCTTCCCAGTCTGAGCAGCTCGTCAGATCAATGAGATTTACGGCTTTTTATAAAGAAATATAATTCATTTTCATATTAATATTAAGTATTTTGGCCCTCCACAATATTTTCTGTTTCTCATGTGGCCCCATGGAAAAAATAACTGCCCACCCCTGATATAATGACTCTAGTGAAGGTGTATGGAGGTCAAAAACACAGTGGAACACTTCTTGTACTACCACGTGACATCACAAGGTGCGTTTTCAAAAAGTTCAATAGGACACCTTTAATTGTACATAAAGAATAAAACTGTGATAGTATTTTTGTTCTTCTAGTTTTCAGGTCCAGTTGAGTTTAAAGGTTCACTGTGTAACTTTTTGGTTGGGGGTCCATCACCTGCTTGTTTCTATGGATACACCATTTAAATTACTCTGCCTGGAATGTTCCACAGTATGACTTTAATCATCTCTACCTTACATTTATGAATTACAATTACAGGTGGTTTTATGACTCAAAAACAGACATTCTGACTGTGAGCGTGGTCGCCTCTCCGCAGATCTCACATGGAAATAGAAGAGTTTAATATCATACTGTGGGACATTTCAGACAAAGCAATAACATCTCCATGGAGACAAGCAGGTGAGGAACCCTCCACTAGAAAAGTTACACAGTGCACCTTTTAAGTTCAAATCTATAGACTCTGTAGCTGGAGCAAAGCTGTGGCATTCTCTGTAAAGGTCACTGAAGAGGATTCCCAGCATGCTTTGTGGCGGGGGAGGCCCAGAGTTGACCTTTACATCAGAGGGTCAGGTAGTACTTCCAGGTGACAGTGACCTACGCCAGCTTAAACGCTTTGGACAGCCCCGTCGAAAAGCAACCGGGCCTGAGTCTGGACTTTGATCGAGCCTCTTCAAAGGAGCATGGAGCTTTTGTGGAGTACAAGCACAGACTGTACAGAGCCCGAGAATCAACTCCAAAACAAACAGCGCAGGAAAACAAAACTGTATTTTTTATGTAACACAAACACTGAAAGAGTAAAGAGAAGAGTACAGGGTTTACAGAAGGGACTGGAGGCCTCACCTGTCTGTAGAGTCTGCTTCCCTCCGGACAGGACCCCCAGAGGAAGGGTCCCGGTGGGAGTCAGGCCTTTGAGCGTCAGCACACTCTCACTCTCCTCCCTGAAGGAAACACAAAGGACAACTGAGATCAGGGACTGTAAAGGAAGAGGTTTTACTCTGATCATTTAGTGACAGGAAGAAGACAATGAAGTTAAAGCAACAACATAGAAGCAGCGAGCTCATTTACAGCGAGTTTTACTCTGGACCTTCAGTGTCAATAACCCATCAAGACTATAGGTGGACCACACTGACAAAAATGAGTATCTCAGTGTTCTTTAGGACTATCCCTCAAGCACGGCCTGGGTTTGCCCCTGGAGGAGGAGGCCTCTGGGAAAAATAGGCGTCAGGTGCAGGTTGGGGTTGTTGTGGCAAAAATTATATATCACTTGAAGATAAATAATGAATCCATTTGCAAAGCCTGGTGAGTTTTTGGAAAATAGACCAAGTTTTATTCTTGTTACAGCAGATATGGACAGGGCCTAGTCCTGCCCTGGCCACAGCCCAACAGCCTCCAGCAGCAGTATGTCCCTACTCCATTCTTCCAGAATCTCTCCCCCAGTATCTGCCCCAAGTATCTGAGCTCTGAGTATTTATACAGAAATACAAGTTACATACATATCAAAGCAGAGTGACTTTGGTTTCAGAGGCTGGTGCTAAATGAACAAACAGTTGAGGACAACAAAAGGCTTCCTGAAGGAGGAGACAGTTGTGTCTGATGAACATTTACACGTGTTCATGACTGGTCTGAGTTTCAGGTAGAAATCACATTCATTTACACAAAGACAGATTGAAAGAAATCTTTCCACAATCTAAATTTCTATCACAGGGTCATAGGGGCAGAGGGGTTGATAGGCTTTGGGTGCAGAGGGGGTTATAGATGCAGGGGGGTCACAGGGGTCAGGTGCAGAGGACAGAGTGGAGGTTGAAGGTGGGGGTCCCCAGACACGGCATCTTAGAAAAATTCTATGTAATAGTCACATTTTGCTATAATCGGGCCAACCAATCCTTGAAAGGTCTGTAAACCAACTTTAACACATGTTGTGCATTTGACCCGATTATTTATAGGGATATAACATCAGATCATGTTTTACGTTACAGTTTGACCCAGTGCTGCCTGTTTAATGTAGTGATTGAATGTCAACTCAAAGTGCCCCCAGCCACAGCCAATCTTGTCCTGGTTTCAAATTGGGTCACTTTCCCTTTTAGCAGCAGATGTTGTCATATTTATACGCCCGAGTAAACCCAGCTAAACTTGTCAACACACATTTGTGTCCGCAAAATCTACTTCAAAGACTTCGTGCGTTTGGACTTTGACGGACTCATCTGAACATGGTGCATGATACATGCCTCTCTGTGTCCTCATTCTGGCTTATGTGTTCCATATATATATTATATATATATATATATATATATATATATATATATATATATATATATATATATATATATATATATATATATATATATATATATATATATATATATATGTTAACACCTTAAAACACTGGATTATTCCATCACTTAAGTTTAAATCTATGTGTAGATGACAGTAACCACGAGCCTGACTCATCTATCTGACCTCGCAGCATTAGATTTCATTCACTTGACAGTAGGTGGGTACTTTTTGTCATTTAACCAGTCGCTGCTATTTGGTCGTGACGTATGTAATGCACTGCTAACGGGACTAACTGGTTTATTAAGCTTTTCCCAAATCCCGTAGGAAGAAGAACAATAACGTCTTTCCCCTTGTTAAAATTCACCAAACATTCTCTTTGTTCCGGCTTTAAATCCTCGATCTCGGGAATCGTTGCCAACACAGAATGTCTGGCTCTTCACTGATTGGCTGGTGCGCAGTCTACAACTTCCGGGATTCTTATAAATTGTCTAATGCAGGGGTGGGCAAACTACGGCCTGGGGGCCATATGCGGCCCTTTAATTTTTTTAATCTGGCCTGCCGAACTTGAACAAGAATTTAAACAAGAACAGGAACAAGAACAACAACTACTACTTCTACAACTACTATTACTACTACTATCACTATTACTATTATTTTCAGTATTTTAAAAGTCATTTCAGTAAATAGTAAATACTGTGGGATTTGAAAGACAGATATTTTGTTGTAATGTTTTGTAATGATTTTCAATTATGGGAGGTTTGAGTAACATGGGATATATTTTCTACATATCCCATCTTATTTTTTCTCTTATCAGGTGGATTACCAAAAAAACTCAATCCTGGTTTGGCCCTTCTGTCAAATTTTAGAACCCTTTGTGGCCCATGAGTCAAAAAGTTTGCCCACCCCTGGTCTAATGTATTCTGATTCCTGACCTAGTTACTGGAGAGAAATGAAATTGAGCGGAGGCACCAGTCAGGCTACGTAACCACTGGCAAACTCCAGGAAATAAGGAAATGTGGCTTCTAAATATTATAAAGAGGAAGGAAAAAGATGTTAATTAGAGAATTCAAATTTCTACAGCGATGGAACCCACCTGGACGACTGAGGAATCGCATAGATATCGTTGTTTTTTCCCAATAAGAATAATAACCCAATATTTTTTTGTAATCCATCAGAAATGTGCCAAAAAGTGCCTGTAAATGGACTATATAATGACAAAATATGCCGTTATATTCAATGTTGAGAACTACAACACTAGTTTGTATTTCAGATGTTTTTGGAGCTCTCGAGTATCCTGCGTAACCAGCCGTTCAACAGTCTGATCTCAAATGTAGGGCAGAGCGTTGAGTGTTTGAGAGACACGGACCTGAGGACGGCAAAGACCCGCGCCATCTTCCCCACGGCGCGGATCTTGTTGCGGATGACTTCCTTGCGGACGGCGCTGGCTCCTCCTGGGAAACAAAACCAGGGAGGGTTAGGGTCTGCTCAGCTGTCTTCACTCATGCATATTCCACAACTGTACATGAGAAAGTGTACAGGGGAAAGCATTAGAACAAAGATAAAAAACATGAGAGGCAAGGTTCCTATACACAATTCATATCTACAGCATGTCTGAGGATTCATGATCTACAATTTCATAATCTCAGATGGTGGAAAAGAAATATCTAAACGGAAATTCGCAAATACTGAACCATATCAGTACTGGTCAAGGATTTGGTCCAAAAACCTGCAATATTAATTTAATGTTTTTCCAGCTGACAACACTCACACCTTTAGAGTTAAATAAAGGCCCCACTTTCTGAGGCCATTGTGAATAAATGATGTCACTTCTATTTATACTGACAGAGAGTGTTTTTTCATGTGGCTGGAGATATTAACCATAAACCAGGTCAACAAATCTGCAATCTGACAGTTAAACACAACTATACTATTCTGACCTGTCCTCCAGCTCAGTGGCTGTGTCCACTGTACAATATTTTCGTCTTATCAAATTGTTGGACGTCACACTACATGATGTGGGGGATTTAAGTTGTGCACACAGCAAAAAGATGCACATTATCAGCAGTGTTGGGGAGTAACAGATTACATGTACCAGAGTTACATAATCGGAGTACAAATTATGAGTAACTGTATTCAGTTACAGTTACTGTTTCAGTGAGTGGTAATTGGATTACAGTTACTTTGTTGAAATAAATGGATTACACGGCGGGATTTTCCTGTTTTCGCATTTTGGGCTATATCCCCTTTTTTTTTTTTTTTTCTTTGGTAATTCCACTCATTACTGGAAGCTAAACCAGGTCTAAACCAGGACTAAACCAGGACTAAACCAGGACTAAACCAGGACTAAACCAGGACTAAACCAGGTCTAAACCAGGACTAAACCAGGACTAAACCAGGACTAAACCAGGACTAAACCAGGACTAAAACCAGGTCTAAACCAGGACTAAACCAGGACTAAACCAGGTCTAAACCAGGACTAAACCAGGACTAAACCAGGTCTAAACCAGGACTAAACCAGGACTAAACCAGGTCTAAACCAGGACTAAACCAGGTCTAAAACCAGGACTAAAACAGGACTAAAACAGGTCTAAACCAGGACTAAACCTACTAAACCAGGACTAAACCAGGTCTAAACCAGGACTAAACCAGGACTAAACCAGGACTAAAACAGGACTAAAACAGGTCTAAACCAGGACAAAAACAGGACTAAACCAGGTCTATACCAGGACTAAACCAGGTCTAAACCAGGACTAAACCAGGACTAAACCAGGACAAAAACAGGACTAAAACAGGTCTAAACCAGGACTAAAACAGGACTAAAACCAGGACTAAAACAGGTCTAAACCAGGACAAAAACAGGACTAAAACAGGTCTAAACCAGGACTAAACCAGGACTAAAACAGGTCTAAACCAGGACTAAACCAGGTCTAAACTAGATCTAAACTAGATCTAAACTAGATCTAAACTAGATCTAATCCAGGTCTAAACCAGGACTAAAACAGGATTTAACAGGACTAAATCATGCTGCGTGGACGTGTCTCCTCTTCTTCTATCAATAATATTTTTAATATGGTTCAGTAAAGTCTGGGTTTTTTATTTTCTTTTAGCAGATAAAACATCTTATGTGAAGATTTCCGAGTCTTTGCTTCTCTACAGCAAATCAAGTAATCCAAAGTATTCAGATTACGTTACTCACTTTAAGTAATTTAATGGATTATGTTACAAACTACATTTTGGGGTATGTAATCTGTAATCTGTAGGGGAAGACATTTTAAAAGTCACCTTCCCAACACTGACTATCAGTGAACCAAAGTTTGCTGGAGTGTCAAGTTTACATGCAAAAATGCCATTAGACCTATTTACTGTCTTTAACCCTTTTTTGTACATTTGTCCTCGCCTGGATTTTTTTCTTACTTGTGCTATTAAAACTCCCCCTTTTACCCCCTAATGAAGTGTTATACATCCTTTTTTTTACTACAACCTGTTATTTCACAATCTGCTGCTGTAGTTGTGTCATATGGCTGTAAGAAAAGCGACAGGACAAGAAATACACCTGAAAATATGTAAATAAACAGAAAATAAAATTCACACTCTTTCATACAAAACTCACAGCAAACATGTATAAACAACCTATTGGACATAATGCTGCATTTAGGGCCTTAGCTACAAAAGTGCAAAATATCAAGTCTGTCCGTAAACTCAAAATATCCTTATGGCCTCATGATTTCTGGCATCCTCTTGTCAGTCATGGAAACAGCTGGTGTCAGGTCCAGGACACAGAGACACATCACTCCCTGCATTTCCATGGGATTTATTACATTTGGATTTGGACATTTGGACTGAAATAAACCTGAAAATAAAAATAGCAAGGGATGCGCAATTACGCAGACCAAGATGCGTACTATGCCATTTATTTGAGAAATATCTGCACTTAGAGCGACTTTTTCAATTGTGACGAACACAGACGCTCAGAGCATCGACTATTTCGACTCACTACACTCTTTGGCAAAGTTTATGACAATCAAAACGGTCGGAGAGCATGAGTTTGGCGGATCAAAGTTCCTATTGAACAATCGTTTTCCCTGTGTCATCACGCAGTGTGTGTGTGACGTAGGATAATATCGGAAATCTGCTCAGAAAACTGCAGCTCTTAGTTTTTCAAGGGGATAAAAGTAGGTTTCTATCTTTCATGGTTGGAAAGTTATGTGTAGTTATATAAAACATATTCCCAGGTATCGTATATGATACCGTTGGTCTGGAAGGTAAAGAGGTAAAATAATAGGAAATGTAGCCTAAATAAACCCAACTTAAAATCCAATAGAACCAAACCTAAGTTTTATAATCAGCTGAAGATTTACAGTGAATTTTTACACCTCTAAATATATCGGCTGTTTTATTGGTATCATATCAAATTTATTCTTAAATCCATATCAGTCGGACCCTAGTCTGATCGCATCATAAGACCAGCGGAGTCAACAGGGAGGACAAAGGGGTCTGTTGTCCCAAGCCCCAGGGTCCTAGGGGCCCAGAACTGGAACCTCTGCCTATTAATTAATATTAGAGGGAAGCCCAAAGTGATGCCCCCAAATTTCTGTCGACAGGCCTGCGTGAGACCAATATTCCAAACTATCAGACAGGATTGATATCAGTCAGAGCATGCAGTGGACAGCTGCTTTAAAGGGCCCATCTCATGCAAAATCAACTTTTCAGAGCTTTCTACCTTCTAAGAGTGATGTGTGGGCCATGTATATGTTGCCGAAGTGGTTTTTAGATTGATTCAGCTTTTTTTTTAAACAAATCACAGTGTATTTCTGCCACCCTCCCACGTGACAACGAACTAAAGCTGCTACAACGACGACGCGACAGCTACACCTATGACACGTTTGACATAGCAGAAAATGCTTTGCACCCGCCCCGCTCCCCCGCTCCACCACCTCCACCACCTCCACCCTGCATCTGCTGACAATTCCCACATGAACACCTAAACAAAAGCAACAGCATAATCTCATTGTTCTACACTGCAGTGAACACGATATAATAAGTTTATCTACTCGTGTTTATTAAAACTTTATCAATCAGTAATGTTCAGCTGATGTCGACAAGGTGCTTGAGCTCTGTGCTCCTCAAAGTCCTCGTCCGAGTTGCAGTTTACCTTCACACTGGTCGTCTCCTTCCGACATAAGCTCGTCGTCAGAGCAAATGTTGAGAATGTTCACCAGCATCTCCGTCACTGTGAAAACAAAACAGTGACAATGTTTAAGACAATTATCAAAATACATCACTGAAAGATTTAAAAGATTTTGATCAAAGTACGTTCGTGATGGAGGGACCAACCACAATCCATTTGGTTTCCCCTCATTTATAGTTTAGTCAGAGGTCTATTTCAAAAGTGCATTGTGTAACTTTTTGGTTACACAGTGCACTTTTATTGTAGTAATGTATGTTTGTGTAATACTGCATTTGAGGCTTGAGTGCTCGTAAAGTTTCCATTTGAAATCATAATCTATATTTGCCCATTAAATCTGTGCCAGGAAGAACCAGGACTGAAATCCAAGAAATTCAACACTATTAAAGAAGTGTTAGCACCAAATCCAAGAATAAACAAGGCATAAACCAGGACTTAAAGACTTTTGTGGTGGAAGGTCCATTAGTTGCTTTTCTCCATGGAGATGTTATTGCTTTGTCTAGAATGTTTCACAGTGTGGCATTAAACCTTTCTATCTTCACTGAGACCAAACCAGACCAAGTAACAGGTCAGATCTGTGGAGAGGCGGCCTTGCTCACAGACAGAATGCCTGTTTTTCTACATAGCAAAAAGTGTTAAAACTGACTCCCACAGAATCAATTTTAACATTTTCTCAGAGTTTATTCAGCTCTTCTAAGTCCGAGGCCATGGTTCTCGACCGGAAAAAGGTGTCTTTCCCTCTCTGGGTGGGATCGGTGCAGCGTCGGCAGTAATGCGGTCGCTGTATCGGACCGTTGTGGTGAAGAGAGGAGCTGAGTCAAAAGGCAAAGCTCTCGATTTACCATCAATCTACGTTCCTACTCTCACCTATGGTCATGAGCTCTGGGTAGTGACCGAAAGGACAAGATCGCGGATACAAGCGCTCGAATGAGTTTCCTGCGCAGGGTGGCTGGGCGCTCCCTTAGTGATAGGGTGAGGAGCTCAGTCACACGTAGAGTCGCTGCTCCTCCACATCGAGAGGAGCCAGTTGAGGTGGCTCGGGCATCTGTTCCGGATGCCTCCTGGGCATGTCCCACCAGGAGGAGGGGGGACTATGTCTCTGGGCTGGCCTGGGAACACCTCGGGGTCCCCCCAGAGGAGCTGGAGGACATGTCTGGGGTGAGGGAAGCCTGGGAGTCCCTGCTTAGACTGCTGCCCCCGTGACCTAGCCCCGGATAAGCAGACGAAAATGGATGGATGGATAGTTTTGAGAGTAAACAGGTAACACTTTGTAGGGTTATCCTGATTCCACAAAGAGGTGCTTTATTTTCACACTTAATTTTAGTTAATTTGAGATTAAATTATGTACAAATCTGGTTCAAACTGGTCTTCTCTCGCGGGAGTTTGAAGTGGTGGGTGCATGAGAGGAGCCAAATTAACACTAAGGGAAGTTGAATTAACATCAAACATATCAACACTGGCAAATAACCCCAACTCAAACCCTCATTTCACTTTCAAATAGTTAAAATAGCACTTATAACTCTGAAATATTTTACCCTGAAATTTTAACCCTCTAGGTTTTGCTGCGTACTGTAGGTATTGTTGAGCTATAAAACCACCTCTAATTGAATACATGTAAAGTAGAGCTGTTTAATGTCACACTGTGGAACATTCCAGGAAGAGCAGTGACATCTCCATAGAAACAAGCAGGTGACGGACCCCCAACCAAAAATTACATAGTGCACCTTTAAGGACTAGAACCGAAACCAAAGTCTGAACTATGAAAACTCATTTAATTGTGATTACAAATACATAGGTAAAAAAAAAAAAAAGTCATAAAACACCGTCTAGTCTTTTAACATAAATAAACTGTTAACCCACGAACAGCTGTGGGGAAATGACACTGCCACTGGCCCCACTTCTATTTTCATTGTGTAATAAGCTCTGGTGAAGTTAATGACTAAAGAAAATGAACAACCATTACTACACAATAATTTGGTAGCACTCTATATTAATAAGTACACCTTAATTAAAAGGTCCTATATCACGCAAAATGGCCTCCTGTGAGCTTTTAGTCATGTTCTAATGTTGTTACCGCTTCAAAAATAGACCTGGAGTTGTGTTTTGTTTCATTCACAGATCAATGGTGTTTAAAAAAGAAAGTTTATATCATTTGCGGCTTTTATCTAAAGTTAAACCTTTTTTTTTATCTTTTAAACTTTTTGAACAAGTTATGCACGCTTTTATTTTATTACGGCCAGTGTTGGGGAGTAACAGATTACATGTACCGGAGTTACGTAATCAGAGTACAAATTATGAGTAACTGTATTCGGTTACAGTTACTGTTTCAATGAGTGGTAATAGGATTACAGTTACTTGGTTGAAATAAATGGATTACATGGCGGTATTTTCCTGTTTTCACATTTTGGGCTATATCCCTTATTTATTTATTTTTTTTGGGGGGGGGGACTCATTGCCGGACACTAAAACCAAGTCTAAATCAGGACTAAATCAGGATTGAACCAGGACTGAACCCAGGTCTAAACCAGGACTAAAACCAGGTCTAAACTAGATCTAAACCAGGTCTAATCTAGATCTAAACCAGGCCTAAACCAGGACTAAACCAGGTCTAAACCAGGACTAAAACCAGGTCTAACCCTAGATCTAAACCAGGACTAAAACAAACAGGATTTAACAGGACGAATCATTAATATTTTTAATATGGTGAAGGAAAGACTGGACTTTTCATTTTCTTTTAGCAGACAAAACAAAACATCTTATGTGAAGATGTCCGAGTCTTTGCTTCTCTACAGAAAATCAAGTAATCCAAAGTATTCAGATTACGTTACTCACTTTAAGTAATTTAATGGATTACGTTACAAACTACATTTTGGGGTATGTAATCTGTAATCTGTAGGAGAATACATTTTAAAAGTCACCTTCCCAACACTGATTACGGCTGAACTACTGTAACGCACTTTATTCCGGCATTTCACAAAACGCACTTTACCGACGACAGTTCGTCCAAAACTCTGCAGCGCGACTTTTAACAGGAACAAAAAGGAGAGATCACATCACCCCAGTCCTCGCGTCTTTGCACTGGCTTCCTGTTTGTTTTAGGAATTGATTTTAAGATTTTATTGTTTGTTTTTAAAGCTTTGAATGTTCTGGCCCCACGTTACATCTCGGTATTCATCCAAATTTACACCCCCCCCGCACATGCTCTGAGGTCCGAGGTCCAGCTCCAGCTCGTGGGGCCTAAGACGAGATTTAAAACCAGGAGGACGGGACCTTCTCTGTGACCGGCCCTAAACTCTGGAACACTCTGCCCCTCCACGTCCCAACAGCCCCACAGTGGAGAGTTTAAGTCTCCTCTTAACACCCACTTTTATTCTCTGGTTTGTGCTCCTCGTGTTTTTTATTTATTTATTTGAATTTTTTATGTATTTTTATTGGTTTTATTTATTTATTGCTATTCTATGATTTTGTTTTTATTTTATTTTTTTTTTTCATTATTTTAAGACTAGTATGATTATTTTAGTAATTTATTTCATCATTTTATTATTGTTGTTGTAATTACTGTATGTATTTGTGCAGCACTTTAGAAACTGTTTGTTTGTGAAATGTGTTATAGAAATAAAGTGGATTAGATTGGATTCACACGTTTGAGTTACCCTTTATTATTCAGGGTATCCCCAGGTTTGACTCTCCCAAATTTAAGACTTTAAGACCTTTTTAAGACCATTTAAATGAAAATTAAAACCAACATCGCCACACCCATTAACCAACTATGGTTCTACATCTAGAATCTAAGAGCCACTGTGGATTAAACCTACATTTCCTCATGATCCATTCAACATCTTCCTCAACTCTACTGATGGTTCACTCTTTGCCGCCGGCGTCTGAAACCAAAGTATTCCTTGCGGATACTCCAAATTTGATTTCACGTCGTTGTTTTTTTTTCCACTCCCTCTCTTTAACATTGCACTGCAGCCCAGATGAGTAAACAAAAAAATAGCCTAATGAAATTTAAGACCTTTGCGAATAAATAAGACTTGGACAATATACTTTTTAAGGCCTTAATTTAGGAACATGAAATTTAAGACCTTTTTTAAGACTTTTAAGACCCCGCGGCTACCCTTTTATTAGTCTGTTTACATCTCCAAAGCTCAAAATACACGGTTTCACGTTGTGATGTCATGAAGCAGTAGTTTCAAGCAGCTGTTTTAGGCAGCTGTTTAAGTTAACGGCTCTGTTTACCTTCAGTTCAGCAGAGATTGGCAATTCCGTAGCTGAAAGCATCCAAATGATTTTAGTGAAGGCATATGGAGTTTAAAAGCAAAGGGCAGCACTTCCTGTATTACGACATGACATCACAAGGTGGAGCAGAGTGTTTTCTGTTTGAGAGAAGAAGAACTCAGCCCAAATACGCAGCATTTGTGTGTTAAACATGTGTGAATGAAACAAAACAGAACAGAAAATAGAGAAATATGAGCTCTTTAAGTAATTACTAAGCCTTAATCAGTCTTAATAAACTATTTGTTCATTATGGATTAAATGTTTGTTAGTACTTTCTTAAGCACTGTTGGGCAAGTGACTTTAAAACTGTAATGTGTTATTTATGACTTGTTTCTGTCATTTCAAGGTCATTTGTTACATTATAATATTACTGTATTTAAAATGTAAAACATTACACGACTATTGCAGTACTTTAATTTACTCTCAACAAAATAACTGCGAAGATGCTGAATTTTTACGACGTATATGGACTGAACCAGGACTAAACCAAGACTGAACCATGGATTCAACCAGGTCTAAACCAGGACTAAACCAGGACTGAACCAGAACTGAACCGAGGACTGAACCAGGACTAAACCAGGTCGAAACCAGGACTAAACCAGAGCTGAACCAGGACTGACCCAGGACTAAACCAGGTGTAAACCAGGACAAAACTTGGACTAGAACTTGGAATCTAGGACGGCCCCTGAGAGAACCCTGAGCCCGTGGAACATGGTGTCTGCAAGGCTCGATCGGCATCATCTGCTCTTAGCCTCGTGGAGCGTGGAGTTCTGCATCGGTCCTTTTGCTCGAGGTCACCTGACGGTCTACGTGGGCACGTCTCCGGTGTTTCATCGCTGCTGATATCGCGGTGATTTTAGCGAATTTGTATGAAGAAAAACCCACCACTTCAATTCAGGTTAATTGCGTTACAGCAAAAAGCAACACATTACACTAATTTGTTACTTTTAGAACGTGTTACTCCCAACACTGTTCTTAAAAGTGTACTTAAAAGTGCATTGTGTAACATTTCTGGTGGAGGGACCTTTCTATCTTCATGGAGACCAAACCAGACCAAGTTACAGGTCAGATCTGTGGAGAGGCGACCCCGCTCACAGTCAGAATGTCTGCTTTTCCCAGTATTTTTGAGCTCTAAAACCACTTGTAACTGAATAAATGTAAAGTAGAGCTGTTTAATGTCACACTGTGGAACATTCCAGGAAGAGCAATGACATCTCCATAGAAAAAAGTAACGTCCATCTGTGAGTACCTTTTCTCCAACGAAAGGCAAAGACCATGTGAAGACGTCCATGAAGTTGGGTAACCAGTACGGATGAGGTGAGCAATTAAACTGACGAATATTCATTACATTGTTCTCATATTTTAAAACAGCAGCTGCAAAAATCAAAAAATAAAACAAATGTTAAACAAAAATGCAATAAAACGTAATTAGAAGCGGGTTAAAGCCATACCTTTATTGTTGTAGACGTCTAAATAATTTGGAGCAGAAAAAATGGTGATAAGTGAAGGGAAGCCCGTGGTTTGGCTTTTTCTGTACATACGGTAACTGTGGAGAAGAGACACAAGTTTTAATTGATAATATTGTTTTAAATGACACTTTCATTTATTGAGTCATTGACATTCCCTGGGGTTGTGATGCTAACTAGAGGCACTGCTCTGTCTGAAACTCTCACCTTTTTCATAGGACCAACGCTTGAATGATACAAAATGTTCGCTGCAAACTCGGGATGATTAAGGCAGACAAAGTTTTCCTTTTTGGTTCTTCCTGTGGATCAATCCTGCCCATCGCCTTCACCTTTCACTATTTTTCAATTCCGTTGGGAAGAGAAACAGTTTGAACGGAAGTTTGCAGTCACACACATCTGATTCCCTTTTGCATTTATGGAGTTCACAAACAAATTTCTCGAGCCGTTTTCCGCTGTTAGGATCCAACAACCACACAATTACGATGTCCGAATCCCAAAACTAAAATATGACAATATCAGAACCAGAAACAAAAGTGATATAGTTCAAAAGACTAGAAAAGATCGACTTTGTCAATAGACACATCCCACTGGGAAAACAAACATGGAGGTTTGATGCTCACTTTTTCGGAAAATCCTTCTCAGTATGCATTGCGCAATGACCGGAAGTCCGAGATTCTTGATGCATCTATTGGCAGCATGGATCTATATTAAAAACTGTATAAGTCCCTCCCCCTCCATCCCGGCTCCAGACCGACTAGTGTCCGCTCCAGGTACTGCAGCTCCCGGGAGCTTGGGCCATAGACTGTAAATATTGTTGGGTTTCAGAAGACATCACAACATTCTATAGGCTTCAATTGTTTAATACAGACAAAGGCAGTTAAAATTAATATTGTTCAACTGCAGATTTTTGTTGTCTCTTGCCCTTGCCTCTGAGAGTATGACATCACCACATTCTAGACTCTGAAAAACATTAAAAAATGGACGTAGCTAAAGTACTAGCTGCTGCATTCCAAATAGGAAGTGCACCAGGGGGTTCTTACATTGAGATCTTGTCGCACCTCGCTCTGTAACTGCTGCTGTGAGCCTCGGCATTTTGGTCTTACAGTATTCATATTAACCCGCTCTACATAATCCTGTTTGGTTTTTGCTTTGTTTTTTTTGCTATTTTGTCCGTCAGAAAAAAAACTATTCATAATATAAAGCCTGGAAATTTGCTCCTGTCACCATGAGCATCACGAGCTTCACTCGAGTGGTGGTGAACGCTGTGAGTAACACACTCACACGTCACACTCACAGTCCACTTTTTTATAGGATCTATGGCTTGGGCCATAGAGAATGAATTCTCTCATAGAAGCACAGTGCATTTTGGGGGAATTCAAAACTGCCCGAGTTTTGACTGACATGGCATCCACAATTTATGTTATTACTGTATTTTTCGGGCGCTCTGGATAATAAGGTGCACTGTCATGTAAATAGTCTATTTTCGACTTTAATTCACAAATAAGCCGCACCGGACTTTAAAGGAAACACAACAGTGTGATGGGTGAGTGGTTTTGTTTGTTTGTTCGTTCACGGTGACTCTGGGCTTTGTTCAGTTGTGGTGTGTAGGGAGGGTGTGTCTGGGACCAACGGATTGTCAGCGTGTTCGCAGTGACTCAGTTGTTCAGTTGTGTCTAGAAGTGGCACATTGCACTCGCTTTTTCAGTTCGTTCCTCCATCCCGTTCCTCGTCAGTGTGGAGCGATGAGTGTGTCTGTGGGTGTTTGTCGCTGTGCGGTCGCTGTCTGCTCCGTGTGTGTTTGTGTGTTCTGCGGGTGGTGCGGCTTTGTAGTTTACTGAAGTCGTGCTGGGACACCTGAGTGGATTCGTGTATGGGGTGCTCTGGATTGTGGGGCGCGCAGTCGTTTTTGGATGGGGTTAAAGGCTTAAGAGCGCGTCTAATAGCCCGGAAAATACGGTAGGTTCTTTTTTCAGACCAAGGGTTTGTTTTTCATACCTGACAGTTTCGACTGCTCACTAGCGTCTTCCTCAGACTGGTTGTTGCTGTGATGTGTCTGGTCAGCTGATTTATACAGGTATACAGGTATGAAAAACAAAACCTTGGTCTGAAAAAAGAACCTACTAACATAAATTATCGGAAGACCAAATGAACCTCATCGGCCTATATGGCATCCACAACTTTCACAAAGATCAGATTTTGTAGAATTCTTTTCTATTTTCGCAACAAACTTTTTAAAATGTTTAAATCCTCAAAGCTCCTAAAGTGATCTTTGTCAGACGTGGCCTCACTCCGCTCTGATCCCGCGTTCGCTCCGCTCTAGCAGCTCTGGCTCTGATTGGTCCAAACGCTCCACATGCACCTTACAGACGTCACACAGGTGGGAGGAGCTCGAACTGAGGAAGTAAATGCGGAAGAGAAAATTATTTTTGGGCTCATGTGCCAATGAGCACAGACCCCTGAAAACAACACAATGCCATCTTGAGTTCAACTTCAGATTCAATTATAGTTCTATGATTGGCACAGGGGTGCGCAATACGTCGATCCCGATCTACCAGTCGATCGCCAAGGTCGTGTGGGTAGATCGCCGTGTCTCGTCTCGGACTCGATCACGTTTGGACTCAGTCTTGTCTCTCACTCGAGGTCTGACACTCAACAAGTGTGATCATATTTCATTACGGCCGCTGCTGTTGGTAATAAACTTGTAGCGGGGTGCAGGAGCGTGTGGGGCGTCTCAGTGCAGCCTGTGCGCTCATTTGAAACCGCGGAGACTCTACGGCACATCACAAACACACACGCTCCCTATGCACGGCTCGTCTGCAACAGCGTGTGCCCTCGTGTACCAGCGTGCATCACAGGGCAGGTTCAACTTCCTAAACATCCTACCTGTCCATCTGCCTCACGTCAGCACGCCGCCCCTCGCCTTTTCACGCTCTCGCTCCTTCTGCGTACAGCGAACACAAGCCCCTCCCACAGTGCGGCTGATTAGAAGAGCAAGACCAAACGTGAAGCAAAAACCAGTCTAAATTTCCAGTGTTGGCACAAAGCAGGTCTACAGCATAGAGCGGATCTACAGAACAGACCTACTGCCACATTTGGCTGAAGTTTGTCTAACAAAAGTGCACAAATGCATCTGTGTTTGTCACGATGTGCGTTTGGTTTGGTAAATGTGCAGAGGCTGGTAAATATCACTGCAAAACCAGAAAAGAATGAAACTCCAGTTTGGAACTTTAAAAAACAGGTTTAAAAATCTTACCTACTTCCTTCACTTTTTTCACAGTTTTGCGTAAAGTGCCAGAGGAAGTTTTGGACCCCCACCCACAGAGTGTTTCAGTGCAGTTTGCTTGGCTTTGTATTAGGTAGATCATTATGACTTGGTCATTTTGTAAGTAGTTCGCATGCTGAAAAAGTGTGAGCACCCCTGGATTGGCAGAATATTCATCAGTTACCATGGAAACACAATGCACACATTAGTGAACACAGTCAAACTAAGTTTTAAGATCGTCTGAAAACTCAAAATAGATTTAAACAGCACATTTTGAGGAGCCTGTGATCAGTCCGAGCGTTCATGGTTTTGTTTTCTTATTTCCAACAAAAAGCTGAGAGTGACTAACTGAAAAACTGTTGAATAATGCTAACGAGCTTGAGACTGTCCTTTTATTTAATTTTATCAGACACAGCAGTGCTTACAGTTAGCATCACACCCTCAAGGAATGTTTATGACATCAGCAGCAAAGTATCATTAGAAGAATAAATGAATGAAAGCCAAGCGTACCCTGCGTCTTGTGCTTCGTGGGCTCTTATTACCGACAGCAAGTTGTTATTTACCAAAAAGTCACACACCGCTGAATAACTGGAAGACAAACAAAAAGAGAAAATAGTTGTTAGTTTTTCATTCTAAAGTAAAGCAGTAAAATATGGAATCTCAAAGAACCATCATCAATGCATCAGAATGATTCAAACTAACCCAGATCTGAACCTAAAACGGATTATAAAGAAGTCCGCTGTGTGGTATCTGCATCTAGTTAGAAATGGTTTTTCAGACTATAAACCAAACTTTTTTTCATGGTTTGGGTGTTTCCTGCAACTTATACATTAAAATGTTCACAGTGAAGTGTCAAGAGGTTCTAGTCTTGTGTGTCAGTATCTGCTGCTCCTGTTCCTCCTGTACCACTGTCACTTCACTCTACTGCTCATGTCTCCTGCAGAAAGAGCCTCTGTCCTGCTGCAAGTCATGAAATATTCAGCTGAAAACGGTGATCGAACAGGAGAAAGAAAGTCTGGAGTGAGAGAGAAACTTGTGAGGGACTGGAGGAAAGCGGGAGGATGCACCATGAAACTTTCCTGAAGTCACTGGACGGATGGACAAAGCCTGAACTACAGTGACACCAAAACCATCCTGTCGAGATTCAGAAAGGCCAGAATAATTCTAACTGGAACTGATGCTGAGTCTGACGACAGCGACACAGAAGAGGAAGAGGCGCTCTGTTTACCTCCGGAGGTCGGGAAGTTGTTCAGAAGTGACACAGAGGATGAAGAATTGAATGGATTTAGTGATTTGGAGTGAGATGGAGAGTTTGGTAAACTTGTTCTGTTCTGTTGTTTATGTTATAGTTTATCTGAAGAACTGTTCATATGTGACGTTAACAGTCTGTTGTTCTCTCTTCTATTGTTTTTACTAGAACTTGACTTTCGGCAGGAAATGTCAGTTCCTGGTCTCTGATTTTATAAACTACATTTTCCCCAAAAAGTGCAATTTATATGTTTTTTTTCTTCTTCATTACATATTTTTTTGGCTTGTGTCACTTAGAGTTTGAAAAATACGGGTAAGGGGTTTCCAGGAAGCAGGAAGTGTGCAGTTAGCAGGCTAGTTGTTTGTTCGCTTTACTGTGGCGATAAACTCTGCGCTCGTCTCTGAACGTTGTGAAAAGTTGTGTGGAAGTGAGGAACAACTTTGGACAACTGCAAAGTGTTTAAAAGTCCTGTTTAATGGATTTTCTGATCTGTGTTCTAATGTTTCCTCATCACAAACAGACCTGGAGTTTGTTTTGTTTCCTTCACACGTGTTTGAGAGAAAATACTCTGCTCCACCTTGTGATGTCATGTGGGAAAACTGTTTTTAAAGTCCATACATATTCCGATTCCAATTCTGAACTATTTAATTCAGAATAATTAATTCAGAATTCAACTACATCATGTAAACGTGGCCAATATTCAAAGAGGACAATAGTCAATTTTGCGTAATATCATCCTTTTAAAATGAACTAGTTCTGCTTTTCACGTTTTTAAGACACTGCAAATCAGGTAATGAGACTTTAACTGGGCTAAACCAGGACTCAAATCTAGGACTCAAGTGTAACAGACTCGTAATGAAACCTGAGACAAGAATATTTAGCTTCCTTCAATAAGGTTGGCACTTGGCACAGTCACTGAACCGGCCAGAAACCAAGACTTAACTAAGTTTTGGATTAAAAGAAACCTAAATCAGGACTTAACTTTTAACAAACCCATGACTAATGTTAATTTAATTCCTGTATTCCTCAAACTGCATTGACCTTTGTTACTTTATACAGTACTACTAAAAAAGTACATGATCCAACTTCAGAAACATAATTTAAAGGTGCACTGTGTAACTTTTTGAGAGGTGGGTTCCATCGCCTGCTTGTATCCACGGAGAAGCTTTACCTAAAATGTTTCACAATATTGCATTAAACATACATTAACTTGCATTTATTCAATCCCAGCAAATTTTATAGTCTTGAAAAACACGCATTTTTACTGAGAGCAGGGTCGCTTACCCACAGATCTGACCTGTAACTCAGCCTAGTAGCGTCACTTTCTTGACTCCATGGAGATAAACGTTTAATGACATATTATGGAACATTTCAGCAATTGTAGTGGCGTCGCGTCTTCACTTTTTATTCCGCGTTTAGATAAGCATTTTTGAGAGTAAATCTGCGTGCATACGGTGACACAAAAGTGTGTGGAATTCGATTGGGTTTGTTTGTACTTCAAGCAACAAGAGCGTCTTTGGACATACGGAAGTTTTCATGTCACGCATTTTCATCAGCTCCTCCTTCCATAAAGTCGTCGCACCATCAACTGGTTCTCCAGGTCTCGTCCAGATTCATCTGACTCGTCGGCGACGACCTGGTGCATCCAGAATTTGACAGAGGTGATTGCAGATCCTTCCGAGCCTCAGCTTCGAGCTCCGGCCCTGATGTGGGCTCTGAGCCTCCACTCTGGTCCCGGTGTGTTCCCGGCCTGGTCTCGATTTCAGTCTCGGTCTGGTCCCGGCCTGGTCCCGGCCTCGGTCTGGTCCCGGCCTGGTCCCGGTCTGGTCCCGGTCTGGTCTCGATTTCAGTCTCGGTCTGGTCCTGGCCTGGGTCTGGTCCCGGTCTGGTCTCGATTTCAGTCTCGGTCTGGTCCCGGCCTGGTCCCGGCCTCGGTCTGGTCCCGGCCTGGTCCCGGTCTGGTCCCGGTCTGGTCTCGATTTCAGTCTCGGTCTGGTCCTGGCCTGGGTCTGGTCCCGGTCTGGTCTCGATTTCAGTCTCGGTCTGGTCCCGGCCTGGTCCCGGCCTGGGTCTGGTCCCGGCCTGGTCTCAGTCTCGGTCTGGCTCTGGCCCTGGCCTGGTCCCGGGATGGTCCCGGTCTGGTCTCAGTCTCAGTCTGGTCCCGGTCTCAGTACTGATCTCAGTCTCGGTCTCAGTCCCACTCTGGTGCTGGTCTGGTCCCAGTCTGGTCCCAGTCTCAGTCCCACTCTGGTTCTGGTCTGGTCCCGGTCTGGTCCCGGACCTGGATCAGTCCTGGTTCAGTTCGTATGCAGCGCAAAAGTCCGGCACCGCAGTCACGGAAGTCTCATAAACGGGAAACGGTCATTGTCGAAAACTGAAAAAACTAATCATTATCCATTTTTTCATTTTGGTTTTGGAGACAAATAATGAAGAAAATAGTTGTTTTTTCATTTTCTTATTTTTGGTTTTATATTGAAAACGAATGAACGAATGATACATGGACTATAAACCCTACTTTTCTAGCTTCTTTCCGAAATCCAGTATTATAAGAAAACCATCCACTTCACTCCACTCCAAATTCCAAAGCTGTTAAAACACTGGGATTTCTTAAGCAAATAAATTTATACATTTTTATTTGTAAATTTATGTGAATTTTGATCATGTGTGACCTTTGGCTACACCACCCCTCTGCCCCGTCCTGTCTGTTTTATTGTTTGTTATTCTTCGCATAATTTGTTAAAAAAATATGTATAAAATTCCAGACTTCTACCTGAAAAGTTACAGAGTGCACCTTTAACAAAGCACTGAACAGACTAGAGGAAAATTGCCTATAATCTATTTCCATACAGGAACATTTCATTTCTCTTCTATGTAACGTCAGTCTGTTAACGTCATTCCCGGAGAAAACACTTTTTGTTGCATCCAAATTGTTTTAATTGCGGTTTTGAAAATACAATTGTACGAAGTTATTGTGACTATTAACCTGTGTGGAGTGAGTCACTTATAAAAGAGCCGTATAAACCGTCTGACCCACAAAAACAAATTACATTTCCGCTTTTGTCAAATGGCCTCTTTTAGCACAATTAGCCCCGCAGAGGCAATTTAAGCAAACAGACACTTTTAAAACAGGCCAAAGATTTATGGAGCACATTCTGAGGCTGCACCAGGAAATAACATGTAAAAGACTGTGCCTTATCCTAATTAGTGCTGGAAGAAGTACTCAGTTTTGTTACTTGAGTAGACGTACAGATACTGGAGCGAAGAAATACTCAAGTAAAAGTATCACATGGAAAAAGTAAAACTTTTAAAATAACTGTTTAAACATGCGCTTATAGAGTAAAAAGTAAAAGTATTTCGCACAGATTTTGAGATCAAATAAAGCTTCAAATGTAGTAATTTTGATACAGGTTTGTTGAACAATTTTGTTCAACAGAAACAACTGAATCAATGTTTTTTCTTTTTTTTTTTCTAGTGGTTTTTATCTGTATATTTTTGTTATTTTTGCCAGTGTGCTAAAAATAACCCCCTCAGACAATAATAAAAATATTAGGGCTGGGTATCATTAAGAAGTTGCCGATACGATACATACCTCGATACATAGGCCACGATACGATACATATGTCGATACATAGGCCACGATACGATACATATGTCGATACATAGGCCACGATACGATACATATGTCGATACATAGGCCACGATACGATACATATGTCGATACATAGGCCACGATACAATACATAGGCCAAGATAAGATACATACATCGATACACAGGTCACGATACGATACATACCTCGATACACAGGAAACGATACCATGATACCATATGTCGATACAGTGAGCTCACGATGTGATATGATATATTTCAAAATGATTTGATACAGTTCAATAAAAAATAAAGGCCAAATCATGTCTGTGATACTAAAAGTATTTGTTAAACCACTTCTGGTGCAAAGTTCATATGAAACACAAACAATTTAATCATCAAAACAGTTAAAACAAGCAACAAAACTGTAGCTCTGTAACAAAATAATCTACTAAAATACACCATAAAATACTCTTGAATACTCTTAAATCAATCAATAAATCAATCAAATATGGCACCTGAAAAAGTAGGAGCAGCCTCGGACAGAGTTGTGGTTGAAGTGCTCGGAGGTCTTCTCGCTGCCGTAGTCCTCCCCGGGGTCGGCCCAGATCAGGTCGCACATGGGCCCGAAGGCTGGGGGCTCCTTAAACCGGTCTAACTGTCAATCACAAACACACAGGCAGATACTTTCAGACGCTCAGTACTGACTTTTCTGACAGTTTTTACATTACACATTTTTTTTGCGTGTGTGTTTGTGCAGATGACATTTTTATTTATTTTTCTGTTCAAGGAGCTGTAGCTGTTTATTTTTCATGTAATAAAGCAAAATAACTGTCAATCACAGCCGCACAAACACACTAATGAGACAGGCAGTTTCAGATACTTTCAGTCACTCGGTGTTGATTATTATGATCATTTTACAGAACAGATTTGTGTGTTTATTTATGCTAAAGGTGCACTGTGTAAGTTTCTGGTTAGGGGTCATTACTCTGCCTGGAATGTTCCACAGTGTGACATTAAACAGCTCTACTTTACATTTATAGCTCAAAAATACCTAGAAAAACAAACATTCTGACTGTGAGCAGGTCGCCTCTCCACAGATCTGACCTGTAACTTGGTCTGGTTTGGTCTCCATGAAGATAGAAAAGTTTAATGTCACACTGTGAAACATTCCAGACAAAGCAATAACATCTCCATGGAGAAAAGCATTTGACAAAGCCTCAACCAGAAAATACAGACTTAAAGGTTGTATGGAGGATTTTTATTTTTTTTTTTTCAAATTGTCCATGAAAGTTTAAAATACCATTACAGAGATGCAGCAGCCTTGTAATTATGATGACCAAAAAAAAAAAAAAAAAAAGAATGAAAATCTATCAACTGTGGACGTAGTGAGGCCAGATAAACATCAGCCAATAGGCGAGTTTCAGATGACGTCATTGTTATTAAAAGGCCGCGTTGCATGCTGGGAAATATTTTGGTCAGAGGCAAGAAACACGTTAGCGGTCAAACACAGTGTGTAACCTCGCGTATTTCTCCCCGATCATGGTAAATTCCTGCTGCATTATCGGATGCACAAATAGAAGCACGGAAGAAGGAAAATGTCTTTTTCGTATTCTGAGTGAAAAGAACTAGAATTAAACGGCTTTCAAACATTCGCAGAGCAAACGTAGAAGATCCTAACAAACCATGGACTCCAAGTTCAACAACAGATCGAGACTCTTGGAGGTTTTCATCTTTTCTGCTGTGAATGGCCCAGGAGTTTCCACCAAGTCATTGTGGATATCACCAAAGTGAATATTTGTCCAGGTAGTTGGTGATTCAGACCAGAACTTTGGTTTGTTCCACCTTTTGTCGGGGTTGAAAAGTGTGATTTGTCGTCCGTCGATGCTTATGACCAATTTCTGGTCAAATGGTCTTGGGTCCTCTGCCGTTAGAGTGGATAAATAACCAGGATCAATAACCTTTACGTGTTTTCTCGCTCCGTCCGTCATGTTGAATTAGTGTTTATTGCCACCGACCAAAATAATTCCCAGCATGCAACGTGCGCTTTTGTCAACAATGAAAGCTCGCGCTTATAGAAAACGAGGCTCTCTCATTTTCTATTGGCTGTTAGGTTGTCATTCAGACTCCCTACACTTCTAGTGTAACTACTCGCCAGCGTGCGGGGATTTCGTGGTTTATGTGGTGGTTCTTAGAGGCTTTTTCAAACTGTAGCTTCCTTGAGTTCGCACAAAGTTTGTTGCGATGGCCGATGAGAATCCACGACCAGTTCGCCGCAAAAGAAAGTCCGTTTTTGAGGTCGCTGAAAGAAGAAGAGAAGGGGAAAAGGAGCGAAGACAAACTGAGGTGATTCTTGGAGATTCCTTCCAGCGATGGAGCGAATGAAGCAGACGAAGGGTCTAAAAACTTACGCGTTGATCGCTAAATTACTTTTAGACATGTCACTTCAACAGTAATTCTGAACGCACACTGGATGTAAACAAACGTGATTTCTAGAGTAAAGAGGCGGGAGGAGGTGTTTCTACTGAGGGAGCTGTGGAGGAGGAAGGTGGTGTCACGCATGAACAATATTTGAAAAAGGACTGTCACTGTATTTCACTTCCCTTAAAAAAATCCTCTATACAACCTTCAAATGAAGTGAAAATGAAGCACAGTTCTTCACCTCGTCTGGACACTTACTTTGCGGATGTCGTCTAAGCAGTTGATTTCTGGGGAGAGCCCTCCATGGACACAGAGGAACTGCTGGTTGAGCAGAGCAGCCAGGGGCAGGCAGTCAAAGGCCTCCATACAGGCGTCGTACACACGCTCCGAGTATTTGATTTTACCTTTGAACACCACAGAGAACACACAGACGGGTAAGGAGACCAGGTATTCTAATTTTGTTTTTTATCAGAGGAAGCAATTAGGGTCAATCTTCCCAACACATGCTCCATTAAAACCTTATTTAAGAAAGGATGGAACGCCATGTGAAATGACAAAAAAAAAAAAAAAAAAAAAAAAGGATTATTAGTGATTTATTAGCATTATATGATATAATACAATGGCAATTATTTCTATTTTACAACTGTGACATATTTTAAGCCATTTTGTAACTTAAACTGTAAAAAGAGCTTTGCCAGTGGGCCCGGTCAAGCAGAAGTAAACAGCAAGGCCAAAAATTCAAATGATTGCATCTGATATAAAAATGTATTGAACAGATACATATGTACTCTAGTTTATGAAACTGTTGACCTTTTTTCTGTACCATTTTTGGTTCTAAAGTTCCATATGTTTTAAACAGACCATGTATGAAACATGGAACAAAAATTATTTCCCAAATTTCAAAGACCTGAAAATCATGTCAATAAATGGATGTATTTCATCATATCTTGTGTTATTCCATCTTTGAATTCTTGATGTAGGTACAGGATTTTTTTTTTTTTTTAATGTATTTAAAATGATAAAAAATTGCTTGAAAAATTTAAAGTATTCAGAAGAAAAAAAGCTGAGAAATGATGTAAAATCCTGCACCTTCTACTTGCTTGTACAATTTTCCCTCCGTTACTTTTCCCTCCGTTACCATGAACTTTCTTAATAAAAAATTTCATGACTCAAAAAGTAAGAGGTTTTTCAACCTAATCTTGTACCATATGGTAGAAAACTATATGAAGCAAATATTCAAACCAGTTTGTTAAGGATATGGAAGTGAGAACCAAGAGTTATCACTGTTTGGATTTATTGCCCAAAAAGTGCTGCATATTTCATTCCCTCCGTTACCGACATGAGTTTTTAAATTTTTTGTCAACAACTTGAAAGAATCTCACAGGTTTAACTTGACCCTGTTGGAGTGTAACTCTTTCCTACATTCTGATACTTTACTTATTTCAATAGTCCCTCTAGTTTCTGAATAAGAGACATTTGAATGTCAAAAATCTGCCCGTTTCCCTCCGTTAACACTTGACTGGACGAAATGGCATAATTGGTGAATGAGAGGCACTTTTTTTAATAATAAAAACATATTAGTGTCCATTCACATTTGAAAACAGAACATTGCCAAAGCCTGATCTGGTCAGATATCAGACGCTCAGCAGGACCGGGCCTGGGTAGGACTTGGATGGGAGACACTGGGAAAATCAGGTGCCACAAGGGGGCACCAGTGCAAAAGAAAATGTTGTTGTGTCCTTAGGCAAGACACTTCACTACTACTACATTGCCTAGTAAGAAAGTGGTGTGTGCATGAGTGATGACGGTCGGAGGGGCCGATGACACTGATTGTCAGCCTCACTTCTGTCAGTCTGCCCCAAGACCGTAGTGGCTACAATATTAGCTTTGAGTGTGGAGCTCTGTGAAGTGTCTTTGGGAATCTTGAAAGATGCTGTATAAATGTGACGGGTTAATTAAATGAATAAAGCTTCACTCTATACCTTTTTGGTTGGGGGTTGAACTCCAGTCTTCCTCCATGAAGACTTTATTAATATACCTGGATTGTTCCTGTCTTACTCTGAACAGGGTCACCTCTCCTCAGATCTGACGTGTCTAGCCGCGCCCCCCGTAAGACGCTCCCAGGCCCGTGTCAGATGGTCCACTTTGGACTACTACAAAGGGACAGGACTGATCACTTTATGCATCACTTTATGCATCACTTTATGCATCACTTTATGCATCACTTTACACCCTGTGCCGGCCCTATGGAAACAAGGCTTCAGTGGAACTTTAAATTATGATTTTTTCCAAAGGGATTTTGTGTTGTATGTACACAAAATCACATCACATCTTTTTATGTATTTTAATCTTTTTTTAAACAGTGCATTATTCATTGTAAAAAAAGAAAAGGTGAAGTGGTAAGCACAAGTGTGTCATCGTCTGTGTCAACAGGAGCGGCCCCGCCTCATGCCCAAAGCGGCTCAGATGTCGTCACGGTGATGCACTGCGCTGTGTGTTGTTGTGTTGATGTCACAGTAAACACTATTAGTCGCAAAAGCCTCAGGTCAGATTAAAGCGGGAGAAAGGCCATATAAGGAGTTTACAGGAGGAAGTGCACTCCTTGTATGGTCGACGAGGCTGAGGCGGTTAAGTCATGTCCTCAAACGACACTTTGCTATTTTAACTGTCAAGAACGATCGTGTAGGTAAATGAGTTTAAAGGGTTTGTGTTACTCTACCTTCTGATCTCTGTTCTAATGTTTCCTCATCACAAACAGACACACTGGAAGTTTGTTTTCTTTCATTCACATGTTTAACACACAAACCCTGCACATTTAGGCTGAGTTCTTCTCTCAAACTGAAAACACTCTTCCACCTTGTGATGTCACGTGGTAATACAGGAAGTGCTACACTGTGTTTTTAAACTCCACACACATTCACTACAATCATTTGGATCATTTCAGTTCTGGAATTGCCAAACTCTACTGAAATAAAGATAAAAGGAGCTGTTCACTTGAAACCTACCACTTCGTGACATCACAAGGTGGAAGAGAGCGTTTTGAGCTTTGGAGATGCAGACAGACTAATAATAAAGAATTACTCAAACATGTGTGAATGAAACAAGACTCCAGGTATTTTTTCATGAGGTAAAAACATGGCTTAAAGTTCACAAGGATCCATTTGGAGTAAAACAGGACCTTGTTTTTATAGTTATAACTTTGTTTGGTGGGATAGCACCTGTTGTGAATATTCATCATAGTTTTACATTAGTTAGGAGGCTGTTGTGAAGAAAATAGGGATCAAGAATCTCGGATTTCCGGTCATTGCGCAATGCATACTGGGAAGGATTTTCCAAAAAAAGTGAGCATCAAACCGCCATGTTTGTTTTCCCAGTGGGATGTGTCTATTGACAAAGTCGATCTTTTCAAGTCTTTGGAACCATATCACTTTTGTTTCTGGTTCTGATATTGTCATATTTTAGTTTTGGGATTCGGACATCGTCGTAATTGTGTGGTTGTTGGATCCTAACAGAGGAAAATGGCTCAAGAAATTTGTTTGCGAACTCCATAAATGCAAAAGGGAATCAGATGTGTGTGACTGCAAACCTCTGTTCAAACTGTTTCTCTTCCCAACGGAATTGAAAAATAGTGAAAGGTGAAGGCGATGGACAGGATTGATCCACAGGAAGAACCAAAAAGGAAACCTTTGACTGCCTAAATCATCCTGAGTTTGCAGTGAACATTTTGTATGTGGAGCAACATCAAAGCAAAACCCTGATCCCTCACTTCACCTCGGTTATGAATTTAAAAAGTCAACGCCAAAGCGAAAGGCACCAACTGTTCACCAAGAAACACCTTCCACTGCAAAGAGACCAAAATGTGATGTTGCTGTAAAACCACAAGAACAAGAAAGTGCAGCTCAGTCTGTTTGTCTTCTGCACCTCTCACTTAACAAACAGGATCCCGCTTTGTTGGTGCTCCACATACATAATGTTCGCTGCAAACTCGGGATGATTTAGTCAAATATTTCCTTTTTGGTCCTTCCTGTGGATCAGTCCTGCCCATCACCTTCACCTTTCACTATTTTTCAATTCCGTTGGGAAGAGAAACAGTTTGAACAGAGGTTTGCAGCCACACACATCTGATTCCCTTTTGCATTTACGGAGTTCGCAAACAAATTTCTCGAGCCGTTTTCCGCTGTTAGGATCCAACAACCACACAATTACGATGTCCGAATCCCAAAACTAAAATATGACAATATCAGAACCAGAAACAAAAGTGATATGGTTCAAAAAACTAGAAAAGATCGACTTTGTCAATAGACGCATCCCACTGGGAAAACAAACATGGCGGTTTCATGCTCACTTTTTTGGAAAATCCTCCCCAGTATGCAATGCACAATGACCGGAAGTCAGAAATTCTTGATGCATGCACTTAAAAAAATCACAATTCCATATTTTTCCCAAATCGTTCAGCCCTCAATCCCAGCACTATCAAACAGAGAGACCTGAAGAGTGCTGTATATGTATTTGATGTAAATATTCTTCTCAGATACACATACTGAAGGTTGTAAAATGCTCGTCCGTGTCCCTCCGCGCACTCTCTCCTTCTCCTCCGGTGAACAGGGAGGCGTGGGCGGGCTCTGGTGCTCAGTGACAGAAGACTATTTGCAGCTGGCACAGTGGTTTTCTCGTGTGCCATTGGGAGTCTTTGTCTGGGAGCTTGAATACTAATATGTCCACACCTGCTCCACGCTCCAGCACGGCCCAAATACACAGCGAGAAATACTGCAAGGAGTTAGTGCTAAAGGCTAATGAGGCTGTCAATACTGTACTGGAACTCTGACAGGGAGAGGAAGACACAAACCACTTGTTTCTAAGTCCATTCTATGCTATTATGTGCAGGTAAAAATATACAAATGCTCTTCTAAAAAATACACAGTTTCATTTGTTTGACAATGGCCAAGACAAGAAGTTAAATCCCAAAGTACACTGCAGTTAAAGCATGTTTTTTTTTTTTTTATTATTTTGGATGTTTTCATTGCACTGAACACTTTTAAAAACATGCATTCTTCCTCTATCTGGGCTTGCATCTCCACAAAACCGGAGGAGGGCCCGCTCTTGCTTGTTTCCATGGAAATGCTATAACTTTGGCTATAATATTCCAAAGTACGGCATCTCCACAGAGAAGGTTCTGACGGTTCTAACCTTCTAAATCCGTGTGTCATTCGTTCATTCATTTTTCAAAATAAAACCAAAATAAGAAACTAAAAAAAACAACAACAATTTTCTTCATTATTTGTCTCCAATACCAAAATGAAAAAACGGATAATGATTCATTTTTTGAGTTTTCAATTTTGTGTTTAAGTGAATAATGAAGAAAGCAGATAACGGCCGTGTCCCTGTTTCCGTGACTTAAACTGCGATGGTGGACTGAACCAGAACTGAATCTGGACTGAATCAGGACTAAAACAGGACTAGAACAGGACTAAAACAGGACTAAAAAAAGGACTAAAACAGGATTAAAACAGGACTAAAACAGGACTAAAACAGGACTAAAGCAGGACTAAAAAAGGACTAAAAAACAGGACTAGACCAGGACTAAAACAGGACCAGAAAAGAATTGAGTGTCGGGACAGGCCCGAGACCAGATTAGGACCAGACCAGGACTGAGACTGGGACCAGACCAGGACCAGACCGGGACCAGGACAGAGACCGAGACTGGGACCTGATTTAGTCTTGGTTCAGTTCTGGTTTAAACATGGTTTAGACCTGGTTCCTGGTGTAGTTTTCCTGTAGTCCTGGTCTCAGTCCTGGTCTCAGTCCTGGTCTCAGTCCTGGTCTCAGTCCTGGTCTCAGTCCTGGTCTCAGTCCTGGTCTCAGTCCCAGTCTGGTCCTGGTCTCAGTTCTGGTTCTGTCCGGCATCACAATTTAAGTGATGGAAATAAGAAACGGCCGTTATCCGTTTTTTCCATTATTCACTTAAACACAAAATTGAAAAGTCAAAAAATGAATCGTTATCCGTTTTTTTATTTTTATTTTTTTTTTTTTTTGCGTTTTTTTTTTTTTTTTGGTTTTATTTTGAAAAACGAATGAACGAATGACACACAGATTCTTCTAGTTCTACGCAATCATGCTGGTGACGTGCTGAAAGTTCCATTGTGTTGCTTTAAAAGACATTTATCGTATGGAGGGATGCTGACGTGTTTTGATCGTGGCAATGTTCTGCCAATAATTCAACAATAAGTGGTCATTTCAGGGCTGATTTGTTCATCCTTGAAGAGCACCTGCATTTTGAATAGTTTCTCTTAGACTTTTGACCCAGAGAAGTATTCGTGCTCTATCACCTGTCGCACTTGTCACTCACCTGTCCTCTACTTCTTCTATTGTATATGTAGTGTTGTTAACTAGTCAATGAGCAATAAATTGTCTTAAAGGTTAGAGTAGTATTTTCAGCCTATCACTCTGGCCTCGCAGTAAGAACTTCTGGATTTGAGTCCCAGGCAGCCGGGTTCCTTCAGTCAGGTAAGGTATTCCTAAACCAAAGAAGCCTCGAGATCTGGAGATGAACTGTGGCAGCAGCTCTGACACATCAGTCAAATCAAGTAAACAATTTCCCTATAGAGGCTTTGCACTGTCACGTGACAACTATAGCAACGGTACCTACGCCACCATGACACCGGACACACTATGTCATTGACTTCAGCAGCATCGGAGAAACATGGGCAGGTTTTGCTGTGTATTTGGATGTTCTAGATGCTCGAATAAAACGATTCATTTCTTCACTGTTCCTCTAGAAATGACTCATCAGGAGCTCAAACAAGGGAATTATTGAAAAAAAAAAAAAAAAAAAACGGGAATTATGTCTAGAGAACATAAACCACGAAGAGATTTCCAATGGTACCATCAAGACACACTCACGTCACTTTCATCAAGGTATTTGCTATTTAAATTGTTTCATAGTTTATTTAATGAGAGAAGCACATTTACTGAACTAAAATGTAAAAAGAAAACATTTGCAGTGTGAGTGGCAGTAGAAACTGTATCTTCCAGCGCACATATAAACATGTCACTCGTCGTAGGACCCATGTTTTCTTTATTGTCTTGTTTATCCACAACTATGTCTTCTAGAATTGAATCACTTTTTGTGAGTGGATCTTTCTAACGTTCGCGAGGATCTTTTCATGGACGATTCTTTCGAGGTTCGGCTCACAGACTCTTCGACTCGTGCATCATGTTGATCATAGGAGCCCAGTGTGGGTTCGTTGAATCATAAACTAGTGCGGGTTTTCCTGGATAAATTAATGACATTTTAGTTCAGTAAATGTGCTTTTTTCATTAAATAAGCTATGAAACTATTTAAATAGCAAATACCTCGATGAAACTTCAGGTGTCTTGATGGTACAATAGGAAATCTCTTTGTGGTTTATTTTTTCGATAATTCCCTTGTTTGAGCTCCTGATGAGTAATTTCCAGAGGAACAGTGAAGAAACAAATCGTTTTATCCCGTTCAGAGCGTCTAGAACAACCAAATACACAACAAAACCTGCCCATGTTTCTCCGATGTTACTGAGGTCAATGACATAGTGTGCCCGGTGTCATGGCGGCGTAGGTACTGTTGCTATAGGGGTCACGTGACGGTGCAAAGCCTCTATAGAGATCTTCACTCTATCAATGAGATTAGTCAACCAACAACTTCTGTATTTGAACAGAGCCCCACTAAGAAAAAGAATGTCTCCCTGCTCCACCCTTTTCATTTCCAGCCAGTGTTCAGACTGTGAGGAGATGTATATGCTGATGATATGTGTGTATAGGTATATGTGCATGTATATGATATGTGTGTGTGTATGTATATATGTATGGAAGTATAAAAAAAAAACCCCAAAAAAACACCACTATTAACTACTAAACACATGCTATTCTTTAAAATTTTCTTTAACTTTAACTTTTATTTTGTACAATGATAAACAATAAACCTTTGTGCCTTCGTTAATGTTAGTATCAGTTTGTACGACCATAAACGAAAACAAATAATCCTTACATTCTTTCATTCTCATTGTAGTTTGTCTCACACGATCATAAGCACCTTTATTAACATCATTATTACTTTGTATGACCATAAACGGGGGAATATAATAGATATATATATATATATATATATATATATATATATATATATATATATATATATATATATAAACCTTGTATAGACTGTTGTGTTTTGGAAAATATGGAGCTCTGGAGTTGATGAATTGTGCATTGAGTTTTGTTTGTTTTAATTTATATTTTGTCTCTTATATGTGAAGTGTGTGGAGTTGTGAATGCAAATTTGTTGTGAAAAAAAGAAGTGTGTATAGGATGTATGTGTGCGCACTCACATTCTTGTTTGAAGGTGAAGTACTCAGTGAGGTGGCGGCACTCGTGATTCCCTCGCAGCAGGAACAGAGTGGTGGGGTGGTTGATCTTCAGAGACCAGAGGTAGAGCACACACTGCAGGAGGACAGGACACACTGTGAGTATCTCTATAATACAAGCATCATGAAGCCTCAGTCACTTTTTGGATATTCCTGAGTGGTTTTATATTCTGGCCAGTGCATGTTGTGTTACGATTCTCAAGCCAAACACAATCAAAAGGTTGCCAGTTCTTAAGGCTAAAACAGGTTAGAAATAAACCTGAAATGCCTCTCTCTGATCTGAATGTTCACTCCCAGCACCTGCACCAGTCATGAACCAGTGCGCAGCCTCTGCAGCTCAGGGAGGGAATTCTGCAGGTTCTGTATACTGTCGACTCAGAGAAAAGTGGTAAAACTTGAGTTTGTGTGCAAAATATACAGTTTAGGGCAGGACTGTCCAAACTTTTTTCACTGAGGGCTGAAACATTTGGAGCGGCCACAGACTACCACACCTTTAAAAAGTCTTTAAAACGTCTTGAAACACTCATTTTAGGTTTGTGTCACAGAGCAGAGTTTGAACACCCCTGGTTTGGGCAACCTGAGTGAAGACTGTATTACAATTAGGGATGGGCATTCGATGAAATTTTCTTAATCGATCGTCGAGAGAATTAACGATCGATTATAGATTAATCATTAACGTTTTTATATTAAAATGATCATCATTATTATTACTATCTGCACTACTAATCTGCATAAATAAATTTAACTTTACGACAAATAAACCGTAACCACTCTAGATCAGCCCGTTTATTATAATGTGTTTAATTCAGTTTTGTGCAACTCTCACCGAAACGAAACTTAAAACCACATCGCTAATTTACATAAACTAAGCAAAGATAAAACTACAGCTCTTGTGTCGCTGATGCGGTCAATTTCTGTCGGATTAAAAGACATGACTCAGTGAATACAGGTTAGTGTGACCAGATTTGCGTTTGTCAAAACCAGGACACCGTACGGGGGGAGGGAGGTGGGCACTCGTCATCGACACTGTGCGACTCTCTCCTGGTAAAGCTTTTTCCCACTGGACACAGAAACATATGTTCCTGCTTTATACACTGTGCACATGGACTCACACTTGTCCCGAACGCAACGGAAAGTGTGGAATTTCTTGTACAAGTCATCGTTAAATACACATTTGTGCTTCAGTACGTGGCAGGTGGACTGACTGTCTGTGTTTGTGTCTCGCTCCTTCTGAGTGCAGAGAGCTACATGTACGGACCTGTACGTTTGGTCACGCTACACACAGCAACCTACATTCGGTTTGTCGATTAAAATTTACGTAATCGATGAAATTCTTAATGATCAATTATCGATTAATCGACTAATCATGCCCATCCCTAATTACAATTAACTCAAGCACACTCACTACCTTAAATTATCCTGCTTAGTTTTGCATTTTTATACACATATTTACAATTGCAAGAATTGCCAGATAGAGGACACAGTTTGTCTTATTCTCAGTTTATGAACAGGCCTCATGTGAAAGCTCACAACCTCCAGAATTCCCTCCCTGAGCTTCAGAGGCTCAAGCCGGATACAAGCAGCCGAAATGAGTTTCCTCCGCAGGGTGGCTGGGTGCTCCCTTAGAGATAGAGTGAGGAGCTCGGAGTAGAGCTGCTGCTCAGAGCAGAGAGGAGCTCAGAGGAGCAGTTGAGGTGGCTCAGGCATCTGGGCGCCTCCCTCGGGAGATGTTCCGGGCATGTCCTACTGGGAGGAGACCCCAGGGTCCCCCAAGAGGAGCTGGAGGAAGTATCTGGGGTGAAGGAAGTCGGGGAGTCCCTGCTCAGACTGCTGTCCCCGCGACCCAGCCTTGGATAAGCAGAAGAAAATGGATGGACGGAGCTGTAGAGGCTGCACTAGCACTGATTCATGACTGGTGCAGGTGCTGGGGTTTAGGTATAGAGGCATTTTAGGTTTAAACCAACAGGATTTATTCATAACAGCTGGTAACTCGAAGGAAAGTCATGTGAGGCTAATAATCCAAAACATGTCCAATGTTTTCAGCATGACAGCATTAGAGTAAAAACAATATTGTATTTGAACATGTGCACCTCATATCAGGAGAAACAGATATGTCATGTTTATGAAAATTTGAAATAGAAAATCTACTATTGAACTAATGCATTTCGTAGAGGTCTAACCAGAGTTTGATCTTTCTCACCAGGCCGTTAGATCTCCATGAATATTGTTGCTTATAGACGACATTATAGTACATAAATAACTTGTGCTTTGCTTATTGTGACCATTCACTTTGATTTGGATAATCATTCATCTGTAACATGAACACTTGAACACATGAAAACGCAGCCACAGTCTGTGCCATGATTAAAACAAATGGTGTTGTGTCATTTGGAGCCCCCTTTCTATAAATAAAATCTGTTCTATGAGCTTCATACAGAGCTGTTGTTCCCACGGCAACAGCAGATGGATTGGTATATATGGGAGTCGCTATAGACCGCAGTCACACGGGGTCACGGCGAACGCAGCTCTGCCACAAATATGTAACGTCAAGTGCACACGCGTCATTGTGAGGGATCGTGCACGAGGAGCGAGGCCTGGAGCGGAGACGACACGGACACTGGACTTTTGGATACAATGGGCTCACGTGACGTCACAACACTCCAAAGGTTTTATTGATTTTATTTGACTGTGATGGAAAAATAAAGGTATGGCGGCACAATAAAGCCCATTTTAAAGGTACAGTGTGTAACATTTCTGGGGGAGAGGCTGTCAACTAGTTTAATTGTCTCCATGGAGATACTGTTGCATCACCCAACATGTTCATACGTTTACTATAATTAATTACACATCTATTTGTTGCTAAAAAAAATCATCGAAACACACGTCTTCTATGCGTGAATGGTCCACCTCCCCACAGAACTGACCTGTAACTTGACCTAATGGTGTCAGCTGCTTTAATTTAAGTTTAATGCCATACTGTGGAACATTCCTGGCAATGCTATGATACTGTATCTTCACAGAAACAAGCAGGAGGCAGACCTTCTACGAGAAAAGTTACACAAAGCGCCTTTAAGAAATCGTGAAAAGACTTTAATTACATTTGTACAGATATTTAATTATAATTACAAGAATCTGCTTTGCAAGTAAGAAAGTCAGGAGTAAACTTCTTTCATAATAATCCTCCTTAACGATTTTGCAATTCTTGATTATTAAAAATGTAAATTAATCGAATTAAGAGTTACAACACTTTTAAAAAAATATTATTATTTTTAGGAATGGCATATACACTACCGGTCAGAAGTTTTAGAACATCACACTTTTTCCAGTTTTTTACTGTTTACTGTTGATATTCTAAACTTTTGATTGATGTGTGTGTTCACCTTTGGCAGATATAACAGCTGAACACACTCGTGGCTCGTTCTTTTTACAACAAAATCAAATATTCTTCAGAAAGTTCTTCCCAAGACCCTGTTTACCCTGAAATAAAACCACGTATCACCGTATCACCGTATCGGAAACGATCTGCATCCACACACGTCGTTTCTGTGTCCGCAATCCTTCCCTGTCCACACAGCTTGGAGCATATGTGTTTACATTTTACAGAAACAACTTAAAACCACATGGCTCATTTGCATAAACTGAGTGTTCAAAAAACAGCTTGTTATTGTGCCCTGATGCGGTTCAGCTTCTATCGGACTAAAGGACATGCACCACGAAGTAATTCACCACCAAAACACAAAGAGGCTAGAATATATATTCATATATACGGTCTGTGTGTTTAACCTGCAGATGTATAATCTCTGAAAAGTTTCACATGAACCATCTTCAACATGATAGAAACACAGAACAGACTCACCATCGCAGAACATCCCTCTGTCACAGAAAGAACACTCATATTCCACTGAGTCATGTCCTTTAGTCCGACAGAAGCTGAACCGCATCAGCGCACAATAGAGAGCTGTTTTTTTGAGCGCTTAGTTTATGCAAATTAGCCATGTGGTTTTAAGTTTCGTTTCTGTAAACTGTAAACAAATATGCTCAAAGCTGTGTGGATAGGGAAGGCTTGCAGACACAGAAATGACGTGTGTGGGCGCAGATTGTTTCCGATACGGTGATACGCGGATTTGTTTCAGTGTAAATGGGGTCCAAATGCAGTTTATCTTTTATAACGTTTGACTCTAATACTGTAGTACTCAAAATCTCATTTATTCTTTCTTTCTTTTTCTTGTACAGTAACAAAATCGAGTGGCTTCTACTTCTTCACACTATGCGGTCGGTAGGTACACAAAGACTAATCACATCAGATTGATAAAAGAACATGAATATATGATAATAAGTCTTCTTTTTCTCTACAAGTTTAATTTTGACACCACATGAAAAAATAATAATAATAATATAATAATAATAAAGTTGTTCTGATTTATGCATTTTACTTCATCAAGACCATTTGGCTCTAACACTTAAGTCCTCAAAATCTCATTCAAATCTTTATTTTTTGAGTGTACTTTATGCAATATTGATAAGTACACAAAGGCAGTATCAGTACTAACAGTATCAGATCTGATAAAAGAACAACACTACCGATAACGCCAATAGCAGATTTACCATCTAGACATGGGGTGAGATACAATTTCCACAAAACGAGACCAGATACGAGACTGGTATATACATTTCACGATTCAGTTTCCAATTTTGGCCTTATGTATTTGATTTCATATTTTTGTTTCCATTCTAGTTCTGCTTTTCAGAAATGTAAGAGATGTGACCAACCCGTAACCTTTTTGCCCAATCCAAATATAAACACTTGGAAAGAAATCTCACCAGATCATTTTTCTCATGTGTGCATGATCTTGTGGCAGTTTTGTCTCATGAGATCTTGTCCCATCCCTAAAAATAATGATCTTTTTTTTAAAAATGTTTGTAGTGCTTAATAGATTAATTTGTGTTTTAAATAATCGAGATTTTTAAAAATTGCTAAATCGTGAATCAGAATTATTACGAAACAAGATAACTCCTGTCTTTCTTAGTTGCAAAACAGATTATTATGCAATTGCAGTTAGATATCTGTACAAATTC